CCGAGCTCCCGGGGGCCGGCGAGGCGGGCAGGCTCCGCCTCCAGCGTTCTGAGGTGTGTTTCTGCTTCCGTGCAGGGTGTCTTTTATGAATAATCAAAAGCCGCAGAAGCCGACGCTATCAGGCCAGCGTTTTAAAACTAGAAAAAGAGGTAAGCTAGCTGCAAGGCGCATACTGTCAGTACCTGCCCCCGGTGCTGTGCGTGTGGCCCTTCGTAGAGAGCCCCCAGTGAAAAGTCAGTTTCTGTCAATAAATGAAGTAATGCCTTTATGCTCTTCTCATAAATCTTTTAAATGAGACCACGCTAAATACGAAGTCTTGAGGCTAACTCTGGGCGCTAGAATGTTCTCTGCACTAATAAAAAATATTTGGCAGTAAGAATTGTAGCTGAATTTGCTATGATAACCTTGGTTTAAGAGATGGGCATTTTAGAACTGTACTGAGTGTGTTTAGCCTGATAACAGAAGTATCTAGTACTCTTGAGTCACCGGGGAACTCCAGCACAGGCTTGTTGCAGGTTAATACATACATCTAAGGAGCATCTAACCTAGTAGGAATTTCAGTTAGCTGCTGGATAAAAGTTGCGTTGTCCTCTTGATGCTATAAGAATACCTGATTTAAATTAAAAAAACCCAAAATGAAAACACAAAAAAAAACCCCCACCCCCCAAACAAACAAAAACCACCCCAAAGTATGGGATTGCAAGTGTATGTGCACAATTACTCCCATAAGAAGAGTAGATGACTGAAGAAGCGTGATGAGTAATTTAGTATTTTGGTGGTGTTTTCTTAAAGAGGAAGTGGGGACAGCTCTTAGAGTTTCTGTTTAATACTGTTTTATTAATGTACTAGCAGTGTTGCAGCTCAAATTGACAACGCTAAGGATGCTGTACATACTGAAATAGTAATTAAGTTGTACAGAAGTACACGTTGACTTACAGAACCTATTTTAATGTTGAAGTGAAAGTACCTTGAGAAACTGTTGAAGCGAGAGAGTTGGATTTAGTCTGTCCGGCAGATGAAATGCTAGCATTCTGGGGTTTTGTCTCTTTTTAAGCATTTAACCGTAGTTTGGCTTCCAAGCAACTCTGCAGTAATGATGGGCTTCACGGATCTGTCCTGGAAAATAACTGATCCAGTGCTTCCAGACTTCCGCCCAACTGTTACCAACGTGTTGATACTTACATTGAATGTAAGGACACTAGTATGCCCCTTACAGAAGGGTTGCTAACAGACGCTAACAAAACTGGCTAAGCTGTTACAGACAGCACTCAAAGTAAGATTTGCAGCTGAGTTCTTCTTTGGAAGCTTTTCCTCTCATGGTTTGCATAATCTAAGGACAAATTGAGATGAGTAAAGCTGAAGACCTCCTCCATTTAAGGCTTTTTGTTAGTTACATGGGTGGACTTGTTGCATATTAACTATGCCCTACCCATGGTGAAAACAAGGCTATGATCAACTGATGTATCTCAGATGTGAAGAAGCATGTGTTCTGCTTTAACAGCAAAGAATGCTAAATAGATCTGCAATTGTAGTCCATCATTTCATGTTTGTTTAAGAAGTTAGCTCAGATTTCTACATTTCCCCCAGGCACTTGAGGAAAAACAATTGCTTCAGACTCATTTAACTCCATATTAAGAGGGGGGGTTCATAGCCAAAAAGCAAGTACTGTCAGTTGGCTCTAACATGATAATGGTATGCAGCTTTTCAGTCAGAATATTTTGTCCAAAACGGCGAGAGTCCTGGAGGGCCGAAATGGAACATGAGTAATGGAGTCAAATATACAAAATTGTAGGGGCACATATTAAGAATTGCCTTCCAGCATGTAGCTA